AACATTTGTATTGGAAATGCAGCTACTGTTCTTAAATTTCCTCCACGTGTCTGAAACAGCTTTAGGCATTTTCTCTTGTTTTTCTTCTTGGCTGCAGCCGCTGACCTCATTAACCAGACGCAGACGGCTCCAAAATAAATGTCCACTCCCTTTATTTTTTAATCCTGACCTGGGGGCCGTCCGTCAAATCCTCCAGGTGTCTCAGCCAGACAGAACTGGCTTCGCCCTGGAGGATCAGGATTATTTGGCTCCTGCCAGAAACAACACTGAAGTTCCTTCCCAGCAGATACAACACACACACAACACACATCCATAATCAGTCATTGTGTGTGTCAGACTGCAGGAGTGTGAACAGATCAGTCGTCTCCAAAGATTCAGGCACAGAAGATTTTTCTAATTCTGTGCTGCTGATGATTCATTTCTTTTTACTCCCAGAGAAACAAGGAATACTTCAGCACTAAAGATCTTGAGTGTAAAAATAGTGGCAACATATATCATGTCAACAAAACCCTGATATTGCATCATCAATAGACAGATATCGACAGCCACTAGACTCCAGACATGCTGTCAGCATCGATCCTGACTTGCTGTGCAGAGATTCATAGTGATCTGCTTTGCTACTGCACCGCCAAGAAGGAAACCTGTGTCAGACATCTTACTGTTATTCCTTTAATTCAGCTTCCAGTGGGTGAAAGGTCAATGCAACCCAACAGAGTTTGTAGACATCAGTCATGATGCGAATCAGCTGGGATTGATGAGGTGAATTAGGAGATGATACTGAGGACCGAGTGAGATCACACACACACACACACACACACTCTGCAGTCCTTCACCTTAATGTGGAAGATTCTCCTTTTTCTTTCAAAGCACGTCAGACTCAGATTGTGATTTTATAAATGTGTCTGGTTCATTTTCCTCTTTCCCATGAGACTCACATCTAAACATTAATTTCTGCCATCTTAATTCAACCTTCAACGTTAAGTCGAAACCTTTACCTCAGGAGGAGGAAATGGGACAAGAATGAAATGCTGTACTCTTTCTGGTGACAAAGTAAAAATAGCTGTATTAGTCATTACAAATATGCATAAAATTTTGTTGAAATTCCATGAATGTAAAGCAAACACACACACACAAAAAAAACAAAGCAATTTTGCAATTTCAGTTTTTTCCGCTAGACGAAAAGCAAAATTAAAATCACACATGAATAAGTTTGCTCATGTGATAAGTCATTAAAAGAGATTTTGCTCATTACATGGACTTTGCATGTAATGGGCAAAATGATCAACCAATAAATAATTTTTTTGCATTGTTTTATACAGACAGTGTACAAGGACGTTGATATCGCTGACATCAGTTTGCCGGACCTTGCGAGCTCCTGATGGGACCCACCGGGGCCCCAGGAAACGGCCGGAGAAACGGCGCCACCTGGCCTGCAGGCCTGAGCCAGGACCTATTTGAACCTCAACCTTCATACTATGAGGGACTTACCTCAGAGAGCCCCATCGCCACTCCTTGGCCCGCTGTCAACCAGCTGGTCGCCATGGAGGTTCCGGCCCAAACCACGGTCACCCAGGTGACCCAGCCAATAATCACCTCTTCTGCTGGACCTCTCCATCCAGGAGCTGGACCAGCTTTTTCCACAGGGGGCGGAGCAAACCCCTGGACAACGCCCCAGAGCATCTCCCACTCCTCCTGCTGCGTTAGCCGCTGCCGCATCTGCCTCACGGCGAGAGTGGAGCTGAAGACTCCGGAGGGCCGAGCATTGTGCTGCCGTCCCACACAGCACATTTCCACACCCAACAAGATGGAGGACTGGAGCCTCACTATCACCCACAAATGGATGATTCTGGGGGACTCCAATGTGGCCCGCTTCCCCACCTTTGATGCACCGAACCTCCAAATAGACGCATTACCGAGTGCCAAGAGGCGCCACGCGGAGGCGCTCCTGCAGAGGGCCATCATCAGGAGTCCTGTGGAGTGGCTGATCCTATCGTTCGGGATCAACAACAGGTGCCAGCGAGCAAAAGCGACACAGATTGTGGAGTTCAAGGCCGCCCTGCAGGTCGCCTCCACCAGGTTCCCGGAGAGATCCTGGCGCCTGAGGTCAACTTCGGACTGCTACTCAGCCACTGGGAGCAGGCCATGTTGAGGCACCTTAACTATTTTATCAGGTCCTGTCCGGGCTACCTTCCCGCCCTCCCTGAGGGTTTTGCCACAGACAGGGACGGGATCCCCATGTAACCGGGTTTGTAGAACCAGGTTTGTGAGTCAAACACGATGCTGGCCAGTCTGGTTTTGCATGAGCGGGACGGCAGCCAAGGGAAAACGATGTGAACCAATAGTCAAGTCGTCCTGTGGCTGGCTGGTGACGGTGCTGCAATTTGTGTGTTGAAATTGTTTGTTTTCCTTTATTCTTTGATCTTCCACAGAATGTTGCTTATTTAGATGAGCTACATTCTGATGGTGAATAGACTTAAAGAGGAATAAATACATTTCAGATTTTTTGCTGGGGATTCAAATATATTTGTCTCGCATGTCTTTATTCATAGCAAGTTTTTTGTAACCATTTTGTAAACAAAATGAAATAAAACATGTGATTTCTTTTTAAAATCACATGCGCTCACATGTGAGAATCACATGTGATTTTACCACGAAACGTTCCAAAGTCACACATATACGTGTGCTTTCACGTGATTGACATCATTCACATGTAAAAATTTGCATGAACCACATGTGTGATTTTTATGTGATCACATGTGACCTTTGGACCTCATTAATATGAAAACTTTGCATCCCTTTTTCAGATTCTTAGCTTCATTGAGTCATTTTCCCGACCACCGGTACACCGACTGATTCAATGACCCAAAGCAGCAGCGCATTAAGTCACGTGACGTCCAATCCATCAGATCACTCAGCGGACTTGGCGTTTGCGTTTTGCAGAGGAATTTTAAAAATCATCAACTAACTGTTAATAAAGCGTGCAGCTGCTGCTGAGTTGCTGTCCGCACAGGGATGCAGGCACATAAAGAAAGGAGGAGGAAATCTCGGTGGGGACATTTCCACATCAGTCCTTCAGTTAGTTACGTCTATGCTGCTCAGTGATCTAGTGGATCTAGTGACTTACTGCGCGCCCCATGGCAGTGCACCACATGCGCCGCTGCTTTGCATTGAGTTAGGAATATTGGTGGTCTGGGAAATGACACCATCAAGCAAAAAATCTGAGAAGGGGAAGCAAAGTTTTTATATTAATTGTCAACACTATAATAGCAAGATAACACAGACCAAAGGGATCCCATTTCACAAGTCAGTAAAAAGCTTTAATTAAAAAAAAAGATGTAAAGAAAGTGGAGAGTAGGTTAGTTATGCTAGCTTAACTTAGCATGTAGTTCGGAGGATTTTGGTTCAATCTGTCATGCATTTTCTGACAGACAATCAGAAGGTGTTTAAGTTAGTTAATCAACCACTGCTAGTGCTCAGGCAATCACTTCCTAATGATCGCAAAATGGAAATGCAGAAACATAAATCAGCAACAGACAAAATGTCCCGTTTGGTATTTGTACGTCCTTTTTTGTGTGGTAAATATTTTTCTGGGTTTTTTTTAGCGTTAATTCCCGATGCATTTGAACGTAATCTTTGCTCTGCGCTCCTGGGGCTGATTGCCATGGCAGTAAAAAGGTCAGTAGTGATCTTAACGTGTGACGTTAAGACTTGACAAAATAATAATAATATAACCACTTGTTTTTCTACATTTTTCCCCTGGACAAATTGCATCATTTGTTCGTAGAACGTGGCAATATTCAGATCAATCATCAAATAGGATGAAACATTTCATAAAGCATAAGAGAGCCAAAGTTCGTTTAATTTTAAATCATGGCTACTATGAAGTAAAATTCAATTATGGACCATTATTCAGAGAAATTTGCTTTGTTCTTTCTTGTTTCTTCTATAACTGACAGAAACCAAACTATAGATTTATTAGCAGAGGGAATATATATTTTACATATCCAAACATCATCATCATTTTATAGAATCTAGTAAAATTGATGGTCACTCTACTCACCAACTGCCCCAACCAGACCCAAAAAAGGTTTTGCAACTTTTATTATTGGCTATATTAAAGATTTATTGAGTAAGACTGTTTGGCATTCACATGTAAGTTCTGGCTTTATTCCTAGCAGTTGAAAAGACAAGGCCTTCCAGTGACTGTGGGTGCATCAGCACCCTAATCCCCCTCCCCACACACACACACTCTCCCATCCCCACCAACTTGCAACACAAAGTTATACCCTTAGCCTAAACACTTCTTTTCCCGAATAGTCGAAAAAATTGTGGCTCATCCTGAGCAGTCAAGTAAAAATTAAGATGACTAAGAAGACAGACAATACAGAAACATTAGGGCTGGAAGCCATTGTATAAGGCCATTTAAGGAGTGTGTGCTAAAAAGAAACGCATTAAGAGTCTGAAGTAGGTAAGTTCATATTCTTGGTATTTCTAACAGTCAGTTAGTCCAGACGCAGAGGTAAAATTAAAAGACACCGATTAGCCTAATCACTTTTTCCCGAATGGAAGGAAAAACCGGGTCACCTGGAGAAAACCTATGTATTTTCTTTAAAGAATGTGTCCATTTAAAGACAGTCCAACAGTTGGTGAACGGGAGACAAGGGTAAATTTAAAAGACACCAATTAACCCAATCACTTCTTTAGGCTTCAATTCAGGTTTTTCCTTCCGAATGGTAGGGAATACCGGAGCACCCGGAGAAAAACTATGCATCCCATTTAAAGTGTATTGTAGAAAGAAACACAGCGGTCAGTACAGTATGCAAGTTATTAATTAATTAGTTTATCTAAAATTGATTAGAATAAAACAGAAAATTACGACTATGGTCAAACTACAAGAATTAATAAAAGTCTTAGCGGACGTTATTAGTTAATGATTGGAACTGTCCATCCATCCATCCATCCATCCACCCACCCACTTCAGTTCACAGGGTAGCAGCCATCTACTGTGGCACTCCCCCGAGGTTGCCCTCTAATTTTTTTCTCCTCTCACTTTCCCTGGGAAAAAGCTTTCTGACTGTCGGTGAAAATGGTGGCCTTTCAGGCGTCCTTTTGCTAGGGGCCGTTGGCTTAAACTGCTTTAAATCTGATTTTGTTGTGAGGAAGTCTACTTTAAACTCTGGCTCTAATTTGCCTTCACTCAGAAACAAAATTCTTCGATTACAAATTGACTTTGTCTTGGGCAGCTGGAGGGTTGGTTTGTCAATGGGTGGTAGAATTTGAACTTGTTTATCGTTGGTTTGAGTTTTGACTGTAGGTTCTTCCACAGCGATATTGTCTTCTACCTGAGCCGGTTTGAAATTCATGAATTCCTTCAAATTCTCGTGTTGTATCTTCTCACTGATGTACAACGTTCTGAACTTAATCACTTGGTCGGTGATGTCTTTAATGAGAACTTGATCCCTCTGCCTGCTTTCAGTAAGTGCCTTTATCTGAGAATTTAAGGATATATTTTCTTTCCTCAGCTCTCTCCAATCAGATGCGGTGGGTTCAAAACTTTTTGACACAACCATGGCCTGTCGCTGTGGTTCTGAGCGGCGCCTAGGCTGTTGCTTCAAGAGATTACTCAACTCGATATCCCGTTTCTTCAGACATTCTGTTAATGTCTTGTTTCGTTGTTTTTCCTGAGCTAATACAGTTGAAGTTACATTCAGCCTTGCTTTAAACTCTATCTTAGTTTTTTCTATGGCTTCTTCCTTTGGAGTTTTTTTAAGTTTCTTCTCAAGAATGTTATTTTCCTTCTCTGCCTCTTTCAACTGCTTTTCCAGAGCTTTTATCGTGCCCTCAAGAAGTTTGGACTTGTCTTTTTCTCTCACAATCTCGTTGTTCTTCAGGCCGATTTCGTCAATCTTTCGGGACAGCTCAAACTCAAGTTTCTTCACTTCACTTTGTTGCTTTTCAATCTTCACTTTGTGTGCTGTAATTTGAGACATCGCTTGCCTTTTTTCCAACAAAATCCGATCAATCTGCTGTTTTGAGTCCCTCTCAAGGTTTTTTAAAGCGCTTTGAAGCTCTTTGACTTTAGTTTGGTACTGTTTTACCTCAGATAACAACTGAGCCCTGTGGGAACCCCGGTTCTCTAACTCGTGTTGTAACTGTGGGATTTGCTGACCTTCCAGGTATTTGTTTTGCTTGATAGACCAGTTTAGCTCTTTGGTGAGTGACGCAATTTTCTCATTTAGAAGCTCAATTTGTTGATTAGCTTTTTCCAAATCCTCCTGCAGGTTGTTCTCCTTAATCAGTAATGCAGATTTGTCTCTAAACCTTTGTAACCAGTCCACAACCAAGACAACCAATTCATCTCTAGTCATCTGTTTAATTTGATACTGCGTCAACGAATCAATGTCAAATGCAGACATTTTGACTGTCCAACCGATGTATCAGAAAAGCTACGAAAAAACGCAAAGTTAAATCCAATATGGGAAAACCAACGTCCACGCTTCTACTTGAGCTCTGCGAGTTTGATTCAGATATTTGCGGCATCTGTCCCTTGTGACATCATAACACTTTGACATCATCAGAGTCCATCAGTGGAATATTTTGATGTATGCTATGTTGCTATGCAACAGCAATACCAGCTCACATTCCAGCTTCCTGAGAGACTTTTTAATTATATATGTAAAAAACTTAATTGTAGAAACTGCCAAGTCTTATAAGCATATATATTTCTTATACAGTATCTTGACTGATTCGGACTCAGCGATTACATTAATAGAAAGAAACAAAAGGGTAACAGTTTAATATGAACGTTATATGACACAACAAGTTATCATTAGTACAAAATAAATACAGACGGTGCACCTGCAATGTGTGGAGGAAAAACAGGCATGGTTGGACTAATGAAGTAAAAAATCCAAAAAAGCAACAATAAGACGCCACCGATCATGTATCATTGCATTATCCAACAGGAACTGCTGTGTGGAAAAGTTCTGGAGTTGCATAATGTGATGACCACTGTCATAAAAACAGTGAACTTTACTTGGGCGCGCAGGCATTGATGAACTGACCAGGGGAGTACGGTGCCAGACACCTAGCCAGAAAACATCAGTAAGCACGAACAAACTGAATAGAAATAGAATGAATCCTAAACCAAGACTTATGTATACTAGAATATGCACACAGTTTATTGATTTTGTGTTTATTTGCAGAACATGACCGATGAATGAGGATGTGTGTGAGTTGGTGTCAGGATGAAGAGGGATCAGCTTTGTGTTCAAGGACGGGCAACATCACTTAAATGTTTTGTTTATATGATAACAAAAATGTTTTGTGGATGAAATTGAGAGTCAATATCAAAATTTGTTTTTATTCTTTGCTTGTTGCCTTTCAGTATTTAAATACTTAAGTATTTAAGTACTTAAATACTGATTTAAGTATTGTAATTTTTAAACTGAGCAGTAATTTTACATCCATGCAAACTCAAATGTAATATTTGAAACTTGAATACATAAAATCAGTTTTTTAACTATATGAGGTCTTGTTTAAGTTATTTTTAACATTGTACTTCGATGGGATCCAGCTGGTGCTCATCATCGCCAATCAGCAAGGACCTTAAACAGGAACGGTTTCTCTGAGGCAGATGCCAGATGGTTGTACTTCAACAGAGCTCTCAGTGCTGCCTTTACAGTGTTTAACTTGTTTCTGACTCCTCTTCCATCTATTCCTTTATCAAAGATGCAGACCACTCCAGGTCCAGACCAATTACCTGATCCTCGCTACTCCTCTAGGCTTTGCCCCCAGATACCTCCAGGACCACCACCCAGCTGCTGCCTGTCCACCCTCTTGCTTAGTTTTCTCTATTGCTTCCTCCATTGGAGTTTTTGGGAGTTTCTTAAGAACTTTATTTTCCTTCTCTGCCTCTTTCAACTGCTTTTCCAGAGCTTTTACCTTATTCTCAAGAAATCTGGACTTCTTTTTCTCTTATAATCTCATTATTCTTCATGCTGATTTTGTCGATCTTTCGGGACAGCTCAACTCAAGTTTCTTCACTTTGCATGTTGTGATTTGAGACATCATTTTATGTCTTCTGATAACAAAGCCAGCTGACTTTGCAGCCAGCCTGGGAAGGTAAAAAGACAAATATATTATTAGTAGTAAAAATACATTTACATTCAGGAGGTTGACGCTGATGACTGGCGATTTATCTGTAACCACATTGGTACTAGTATATATAGAGAAAGGCATTAAAACATGCTGCAAAATGTATATAAGAAGACACAACAGCAGAAATAATACTTTCAACATGAAAAAGCCCTTTATACAGTTTTTCAAAGAAAAAAAATCTGTCTAATATTTATGTAAACATTCAACATCATGAAAAAAAAATCATACTCCTAAAAGGCCAAAAATTTTTGCTGAATGTTTACCGGCTCAATTTTATTCCCCAACACTTCTACTCCGCAAACATTCGGCATGCTAAGCTAAGTATGCTAACGCCGAGCCATGTGGCGAACGTGTCGTACAGGTTGAACTCAACTCAAAGAAATAGCTATAAATAATCTCAGAAAAAATTTACTTACCAAGCGCAGTGAACAACTCAGACATGGGGAAAGTAAATTGTCCTGAAATGACTTGGCTTGCTTCGTCTCCTTTGGCGGGAATCTGTGATTCTGGGGGTGGAGTCAGTGAATGAGCTCCTTCAGTGGTACAGCTGCTGTAGGAGTTCAGCGAAGTCAAGACTCCAGAAGCTCTAAGCAAAAACATGTCATTTAATCTAGACTGGAGATTTATTAAAGATGTTTGATCTGAATTGGATTGTCAATTTCTTGTGCCAAAATCCTTTCTTTTCCCCCTCATTACTTTTTTTCTTATCAAATTTAATGAATATTTGTCTGAACTTTAAATAAAAAAAATCCCACCTGTTGCAGTAATTTCCAATTGATGTGTCAAATCTGATTTCTAAAATTAAACTTTTTGATTAGTTTGCAGTAGTTGTTATGCCTGTCACGATAACAAATTTTGCTGAGCTTTTAATTGTCTCAGAAATTATTGCGATAAATGATAATATTGTTTGAAGATCATTTTAAACTGATTTTGGATTATTACATCATTACCATAATAATCCATTGACATAAAAATCCAAAATAGATGCATGTTCAAAAGAACATTTAACACTGGCACTGGTAAACAAAATATAACAATCAAAAACAAAACTTAAAATTGATTCTCAGTCTCCATTAACAAAAAATGCACTTGAATAAAAACTACAGCTTAAACACAAAGTGGAAATAAATGTTGTATAGTGCAGATTATGAAGTCTGTATACTATATTGTCCTTCAATAATAATTAGGTTTAGATAGAGAAGACGGGCACATCCGATGCAATAGTTCACTCCTCCCTTAAGCCCAGTTCACACTACACACTTTTTTGCCCCAATATTGACAATCTTTGAATGGCCAACGTTCTAAGATTGTCGCTTGCAATAATCGTAACCGATCATATGTAGTGTGTGTTAGGACTGATCGGGTCCAGTCGGTCTGCACAATAGCATGTTGAGTAACATGAACTTATTCCATTCAATACCTTAAAATTAGTGTATGAGCGTATATGCTAAAATTAACCAAGATGTTAATTTTTATTTTTCAAAAACCAAGACTTCTTCTGCTCTTTTGAAATACTACTTAACTTACAATGGGCTCTTTGCACAGACGGCGTTGACGTCACATCCGCATGAGCGATGTGATGTATTTCCGCTTTGACTTACCATGACAGCTAGAAAAGATAAAGTCGTATTTCAGGTGCAAATAAAGCAATACTAAAGTTAATGTCAGTCATGAAATATAACTGACCTTCGTGTCTGTGAATGTATAATGAGGCGTACATAAGTAACATCAACTTATGCACAGTCTCCATTAACTCTCTGTACAATCTTAGCAATTTTTTTTTATTTATAATTTTTGACATAGGAACATTAAATTTCCCTTTTATTCTTGACCAAATATTGTTTCCTTAATCAAGTAATTTTGAAACCATCTTTGTTGTAAAGGGCAGTGTTGGGTCTATTTTAGTTTACAACCTGCAAGGAGTCAACCAGAGACACAATACGTTTCTGCAGAAGCGGGGAAGAGAGAAACCAGACACGGAGAACCGGAATCAAACAACTGGGATCAACTCCACTGGCTCTCACCTCCCAGCTGCCTTTTATTATCACAACAAGGAAAAAGGGGTTTAAGTTTCTTCAGTTACACAAGCAGTTTCGTTAGAGATTTCTAGCAAAGAATGTTCCGGGACATCTCATTGAGGCGAGATGAGAAGAAGTCTCCAAAATAAAAGGCACGTCTTTTATTTTGGAGACATGCCTATTTATTTGGGCTTTCCTAAGTTGAAATGCCTATTGCCCATTTCATAATTCCTTTGATTTGTGAAGCGTAGAGAACCTTCTGCTTTGACAGTTATTGTTTTGTCTTATTTATCTTTTGGCTTTTTAAGCTCACCCATTATGTTTTTATCCTAGTTTATGTTCCCTTTCCAATTATTTGATCTTATTTTCCAACTCCCTTTGTTCTTTCATTCTGAATGATATTTCTATCATTTTCCCTCTTTAATCACTGCTTCTCCTCCTTCCCATATTATTGATGAAATAATCATTTCAAAGTATTCCTTAGGTGACTCCTTGATTTTTTATTTTTTTATTTTATTTTTTTTGACAGTATTTTTATTAGAAATGATTAATACATTCATTCCCCAGTATCTGAAACGAGTAAAATGTGCAGTTTCTTTTCTTGGGGTTGATATTTCTCCAAGCACCAATAAGACCAAGCTTTGTTGTAATATTATTTAGCATTCTAGATTTCCCCATAAGTTCTACTCAACAAGAATTTTGAAGTTATGTTTTTTTCTGAAAGTTGTAAGTTTTATTTTTCTTTTTTGTCATTGGTGGTAAATATATTATAAAACAGACATTCAACACAAAACCTAAAGTCTGAGTATGGGGCAGTTTGTTACGAGAAAGAAAATACTCATCTCTTGACACCAAATTAATTATTGTTTATAAAGCATAAGCTCTTTTGAACACTGCTTATTTGCACAAGAAACGTAGAGGTGGTAAATTTAACAAAAGTAAAAATCAGGGGCTTCATGTATAAAAGATTGCTCAGTATTCACACTAAAGCTGGGCGTACGTAAGAATTTAGAAAAGTGCGGTGCACGAAAAAATTTGTATATATAAAGCCTTGCGCACGTGGCTGCGCATCTTTCCTTTCTATATCCCAATTTGCGGGAACTTGAGCGCAGCTGCTGGTCCACCTTGTAGCCACCCATGAATACATATGTGACTTAGTATAAATACCTGGAAGTCTACCACCACATAAAGCAATGGGCTCTTTGCGCGTACGGCGTTGACATCACATCCTCACAACC